AGGAATATAGGAGGCTGTGGATCTAAACGGTGCAAAGGACCACCTTTTTCCTGTGGACAGAGGTTACCCTTGTTGAGGGAACAGGACAGAGAGAGCTGGCAGCTGCTTCTCAGAAACCTGAGAGCCGTGTTCAACACTTCCATGGGCAGGTGGGAGGGAGGAGGCGAAGTTACTTGTACCCAGCACCCAACCCTTGCCACCCATTAATTGCAACCTCTTTGGCCTCTTAGTCATTCAGTTTAGCTGGGCTTCAGATCAGTCTCTTACTTCTAGATTTGCCATCTTAATTAGAAAGAAGCTTGTGTCCACTTTTGTGCCTTCATTTGTTGCATTGCACCCATTAATTGCAACCTCTTTGGCCTCTTAGTCATTCAGTTTAGCTGGGCTTCAGATCAGTCTCTTACCTCTAGTTTTTGCTGTCTTAATTAGAAAGAAGCTTGTTTCCACTTTTGTGCCTTCATTCGTTGCATTGGACAGCATCACGTATCTGTCTTGCTTATAAACTTTGTTTATTTCCACTTTGCTAACCCCAGTCAGGCAAGGGCCATGGTCTTGTCATCCTGCCTTTGGTCTCAGTGTCATCTGCCTGGGTGTGATCTTTTTCTGATTGTTGGAAGGGTGGAGCTCTCTTTGTTTCCTGGTTTCAAAGCTACCTTGTAGGGCCTGTGCTCTGCTGCCATCTGAACTGCTACCTTTGATGACTCTTTTGTACATCTGTTTAATCAATGAACCAAGACCTGCTGACCTGTGCGTAGCAGCCTCACACCCCCATATATCTCTGGGAATTTATGCAGTGATGGAGCATCCCTCTGCTAATCCAAACTCTCTTTGCACACATCCCAGTGCTCCAGGTTCAGTCTCAGATAATGAAACCAGGCGAGTGGCTTCCCTCCTTGGACCACCTCAGGTTTGCCTTTCCTTCCAGATGTGAGCAGGCATTTTCTGAATGTTTGCATCATTGGGGCAGTCCTTGCAGGGATTCTGCTGGGTAGGTGCAAAATCTGCAAAGAAATGTTTCCATTATGTGAAAGAGATCTTTGTTTAATTATACTTGATTTTCTAATCTTTCCTGGTTAGGGTTGGCAGTGCCTTTTCTGATCAGTAGAGCATGCTTAAATAACCTCTACACCAAATCTCAAGATCAATTTCATTGTTGCTGGCATTATATCATATATATGAAAATATATTTTCATTGCCACCTCATTTTTAGAAATATTTGGGGCCACAATTTGATCTGTCCCTGGAGAATATTTGTCATGGAGTAGCAGCATTGACTAGTGTATTTGGAAGGAGAGAAACTCTTAAGTGGTTAAGGATTCAATGTTGAATGCTTTTTTTTTTTTTTTTTTTTTTTTTTTTTTTGCTTGCTAAGCACAGTAGCTTTCAGTATCTAACATGTATATAGCAGTGTTGTCAGCTTGGGGCCTTATCCTGCACATCAGTCATTAGCACATCATGCTCTTGTGTGACAGTTTGAGTCTTTTAAAGTCAAGGGATCAGGTGGCACAGAAGAAACTGTTCAAAAGGTCCAGTTGCAAGAGTCTGGAGGTGCAGTCAGCGCTGCAGTTCAGGCACAGCCCAAACAAGTTGTGGGTTAGCTCCACGCATGGCCCGGGGGACGACTGCAGAGGTGGAGAGATCTGCATGATCAGATAACCTGCCTTTCTGAGAAGGCAGGTAAATAGTTTGGTGATTAGGAGCTGCTGGATGGTGCCTGGGGTGCTTGGCTGAAGCCAGTCAGGAACAACTGGGACCAGTGAACCAGTGAACGCTTTGACACAGCCAAAGACCATCTCCTCGGGGTGAAGGTGAGCAGTGCTCAGCCCAGAATCCCTCACAGGATAATCTGCAAGGGTGGGGAAAGTCCCCCTGTTAAAATATGCTGCGTCTCAGCAATAAAATGACCCTGAAACTCAGTCCTCCAAGGCAAGGCTGTCCCCGGCCAGCCAGGTTGGGCGAAGGAGTGCTGCTGTGTCTGTCACCCGCATGGGCTGCCCCAGTTTGGGAATTTAATTCTTCAGCATCCTTTATATGGCTCGTTTCTCCATGGACCCAATTACTTCACCATGGGATATAAGTAATTCCTGTTCATTTCTAAAGCAAGAGCTCAGGTCTATGCTTTGGAAGAAAATAATTTTTAAGGGGGAAATTCTCTTCTCTGAGTGAGAGAAATCCAAGGAGATTCCAAGATTTTTTAAAGTAGCATTAGTTGACCAGATGTTTATAACATGAAGATATGAAAAAGCATGTGGCATCTTTAGCCTAACTCAGATCCTGTGTGACTTTCCCGTATGGGAGGTCCTCCCAGGCCACGCCACAGGCACATAGGAGTTCTCTGGCTCAAAATAAACAGCAGTTTCTTATGATCAGTTTATGACCAGTTTTTTGTCTCTGACCAGGCAGGTACAAAATGCTTCAGAATAATTTTAAAGGTTCTATGGTCGTTACCAAAAAACATCCTGCTGATCTGCATGTAGCCCTTACTTAGTACATCTGATGTTTGGATAAGGAGAGAACTGAGGTTTTCTGTGTGTGTCCCTCTCCCACCATGAAATCTTATTGTGAATAATAATGAAAAAAAGTAATTTTTTTTTTTTTTTAAATCAAGCGGAGAATTTGGGATGATATTCATACAGTTGTGACTTTTATATTCTGCATCTTTAATGTTATGGTTCCCCCAGTTATTCATATCAGAGATATGCATTACCCTGTGGTATAGATTTGATCTGGATCAAATATAACCACACAACTGCATTTCTGTTGAATTACCCAGAGAACATGTGATATGCTATTTATGGCCACTTCATCTCGTGCGCTAGCTGTAGAAGGACAGCTGTGCAGTGCCACATGTAACCTTCTTGCACAAAATTAATCTGTTGAAAGGATTTTTAAAAGTTTGAGCCGACCAGGGTTTGTTTCTGCCAAACCAGCTTTCTATTACTCAAAACCCAAAAGCCAAGTTGCTGCATCAGTAAAACGAAGCTTAAAAGAAATCTTGGACCAGAAGGTTGCAGCAATGCTGAGCTTCCTGGGACTCCCCTGACCCTGCATGATGCAGGTGGCCCTGGGGCTGTTTCAAGCCCTCCTGAGTTCTCACTCAGCACCACGTCTCCTTGCGCGCTCTGGAGCACAGCATGTAGTAGTGCCTCTCTAATTACATACATCGGAGGAGTTTTCTCCCACTGAGGGACAGGACTGTGAAAATCTGTTTGTGGGGACTTTGGCACGAAAGAAGCCATAGAATCATAGAGTCATTTAGGTTGGAAAAGACCTTTAAGATCATCAAGTCGAACTGTTAACCTAGCACTGCCAATTCCACCAATAAACCACGTCCCTGAGCACCACATCTACGCATCTTTTCAATACCTCCAGGGATGGTGACTCAACCACTTCCCTGGGCAGCCTGTTCCAGTACTTGATAACTCTTTCAGTGAAGAAATTTTTCCTAATATCCAATCTAAACTTCTCCTGGTGCAACTTGAGGCCGTTTCAGTGTGTGGACAAATGATGTGACCCTTGGTTCAGGAAATTACATCCTGATGTGAAATTATTTTCCCTGAAATTAGTGTTTCCATATCCCAGATTCTGCAGATTCTTTCATCTTCTCCATAAGCATTTGCTGGCTTTATCCAGTCTACCATAAATATTAGACAGTTAATGACATTTGAAGTTTATGTGCCGTGGCTTATGTTAATATTCAGGAAAAAAAATTAAGGCCAGAAAGAAAACCACATTTTTGTTATTGTGATAAAGTCAATTTTCTGAGCCTATAAAATGCACATCAGTACACTGCACTTTCAGTTTCTGATCCCAGTTCTAAATTGTCTCCGCTATTTGCACTGAATGCTGTATCAGTGTGTAGCCTAGATACTGGCACTGTACCCAATGCAAAACTGTCCTTTAAAAATGTGTGTGTTTGTATTTCCAGACAGATCATGGATTGCTACGGGAAGTATGCAGCTGTCACTTTGACCATTTTGTCTGTATTTCTGCATCTTCTTCATGCTTTCCCAGAAGGAGAGTTTCTCATGCAGGGTAAGCTGCTTTCAGCGTTCAGAAATAGGGCAATTGTTCGTAAAGAGTATTAATTAAACTTTCACGTTTTATAAATGTGGTCATAAATCTTATCATTCCATTGCATTTATTGACACTGAGATATGAAGGTGTAATAAATCAAGATAATTTTGCTATGAGTATACTTCCTATTTCTTCTCTAAACTTGATTTCTTCAGGTAAAGAGTCTCCCAGATGACCATGTCCTCATGTTGACGTGGGTGATCTCAATCCTTGAAACATTATTAAATAGGAACATTTTGTTTTCTTGTACTCCTGAGATCTAAATGGCAGCATAACATCAGGAAAAGCAGAACCATAGCTTCTTCTCATAATATGCAGAATATTTTTCCTCTGTAGATCCTAGAATATAGGATGTTGGTGGTGTAGCATTCTACGAAAGAGGCATATGAGGAAGATTTTAGAGGTGTTTTGGAGGTTGGGGGGTTTTTTTATTCAGCCTCAAACTGAATATGGAAAAATGCGAGCCACAAAACTCTTGGGATCACTAGGCATTTTTAAAACTCTTGATAACGGAGTCTTGCCTGAAAACAGGCAATGCCTAAGAAGCACTACAAATCCTGCTGATGCTATTTAAATATATTTAACTATATTTAATTATATTTAACTATAGCTAGTAGGGAGTTTTCTAGGGACAGCTAGTGTAGTAGGCGTACAAAAAACCCTCCACAACTGTCAGCAAAATTAAGTTAGAAAACCAGAAAAGATACAGTAATGCTTGTGCCTTACCTAGAAGGCCACACACTCTAGTTTTACAGCCGGTGCATGTTGCAGAGGTGAAGGACCCTAAAGAGGGGAGCTTCGGTGCCTGCGCTTTTCTCTTCTGCATATGTTGAGCAGCAGAATGCAGCTGGTGCTTCCTCTCACTGCCCGCACTTTCCCTTTCTTTTTGAAAATGAAAATACAGCTGGGGACCAAGTAAAAGTGTCTTCCTTATTGTTGTCCAGAGTGCAAGCTAGGGGAGAACAGATTCTTTTCTAAGCCAGGAGCACCCATTTACCAGTGTACCGGGTGCTGTTTCTCCCGGGCCTATCCCACTCCAATGAGGTCCAAGAAGACCATGCTCGTCCCAAAGAACATTACATCAGAAGCAACGTGCTGCGTAGCGAAGGCTTTTACCAAGGTGAGGCTGTGAATGAGACCCATTTAAGCTTGTTTTAGGATGCAATGTTTACCCAAACCAGTGAATAGAAAAGGATATGTTTTTGCTGGAGGACATTGGAGAGCTATTTGAGGGAAACATCCTTGCCATTTATATCCTTCGAGCTTGGGTTCTTTCTTTTTTCTAAAGAGGAAATTAAAGTGTCAACCAGTACCGAGTCTGATATTCAGTTGGGATGTGAAATTGATGCAGTGTCACTGACTTAAGTGAAACTACTTTGATTTGTGACACCTGAAGTTCTGGTGGTGAACTTGTTGTCCCCTTGTTTTTAACTCTTCTGGATGTGCACCCTCCCCTTAAATGCTATGCAGTGTGTATTAGATTTTATTTAGTCATTTTCCTTGTGTCTTTCCTGCATAGGCAGGAGTTCTCTGGGAAGGTGGCTGGTCAATGCTATCAATTACTTATATGGGAATGAGGGACCTAAACCATTTGTGCTCGTTAGATTAATTGAGTTTGTGTTTACTTTTAATAGTATAACCAAGAGGGAACTGTAGATGTGTGCAACTACTTTGAGCATTTAATACTCTCATCTTGGAAGGTTCTTTTAAAGAGAGAGTCTGCTAAAGCTAATTATTTTGGGAGTGATCCAGCTCCAGGTGAAGAAACCTTAAATTTGATGTAAGAAATGGTGAGCTAGTTGAAACAAGCTAAGGTGTCTATCCTCTAATGATCTGAATGAGATTCATTGAGTGTGTTGACTAGAGGCTCAGTTCAGTTACCCACTCACAGATTTGGTGCCATTTGAAATATCTTGGGGTACTCAAGACATCTGTGTATGGCTGGCAGACACAGGACCCATAAAAGACCTTCTAGAGTGGCACCCGGCGGTTGGTGGGATTCCCTGTGACACCTCAAATGGCAGTTGATGGCTCTGCCATTGAACAGCTGAACAGGGCGCTGGGTTTCCACTGGCTGTGATGAGAGCTCAGATACCTGGCTTACCTATAGGCACCTACAGCTGAACCTGCCTGAATCCTGGCTCTTCGTCTGAGTAGAGCATAGATCTTTTTCTTCACCACTGACATTATACTTGCCCTGAGGTAGCAACTAGAATTTGGTTGAGATTAAAACCAAAAATGATTCATTGTGTTTGTGGTCTCTGTTTTTATAATTCCCATATGAAAAATTCTAAGGACACTTCCTGATTTTTCATAGATTGGTTACTTGACACTTTTTGAAAATTAAACACTTTAAGAAGTGCCAAATTAAGGACACCAAGCTATGTCACTATTGAAAACCTTCTCTTTGCATCTCTGAAAGCCACTGATGATGCAGCTTCACAGGTTGGTGTTCAGAGGCCATTCTAGTACATGTACCCCAAAGAACCTATGTACCTTGTGGTTAAGAAAAAGGCTTCAGACATCTTTTACTTGAGAATGCTGTTTTTACTGTCTAGCTAATCCTAATTATTTGTTATGTGTGTGTTTTCTTTTTTTAAGATTACCCTTAAGGACAATGTGAAGATAGAGAACCATACAGATTGTCACTGCAGTACCTGCTACTATCATAAATCCTGAAGCCTGTCCCTTTGTTAATGATCAAGGACAACGGTGAATGGAATATTTGTTTTTCAGCTTTTATAGCACCACTGTGTAAAATCTTATGTTTTCTGGTCAAGACACTGGGTAGACTTTTGAATAAGATGGATAGCTGTTTTTTTTTCCTCTTTGCTTCTTCATGCATTTAAGTAAGCTTAATTATTTCCATTAGGGATAAAATACAGCACTTGCATGACAACCAAAGGCTTGATCTATTTTTAAAATAAACTGTCAGTTAAATCATCAATGTTTCTTGAGGAAAAATGATGATTTAATAGCTTAAAACAACAACAACAACAAAGATTCTGCTGCAGTTAATTTCTTTCTTTCTTTTTTTTTTTTTTTTGGGGGAAAGGGGGGGAAAGGGGAAGGGAGGGATGGGAAAGTGGACAGAAAAAGAAGCAATAATTTCCCCTTATTCATTTAGTGATTAGAAGTTTTTGAAGACTCAACATTTTGTTTCTCCTGTTTCTTGTCCGTTTTTTCTTTACCTTGTGGGCAGGAAGTTTAACAGTGTATCATCTATGTGCAGTGCTCTGTCCTTATGTGCCATCTTTTATTTTTCTTTGAACCTAATCTCCTTGCATATAGATAAATGGATGCAGAATCAGATGTTATAAAGAATAGTACAGCTTAGTGTAGCAGTGATGGAATAGAGGAGTGGTGCAACGGTATTAGCTATTTAAGGTATGCCTGAGCAGCATGGTATAGGGCTTTAGTGATTCCCAAATGCAATGTAATGTACTGTACCCAGGTATACAAATGGAAAAGGTAGGGAATATGTTTGGTGAGAAATGGACCACAGAGTATGTATTCAGAATACATGACCTTAATATCATAAACTGGGATTTTAGAGGTAGCACTTGTTCATTTGTAGTAGGTTGGATCAGGGTCTCTGGAGGAACTGCTTGCAGGTCTGGAGCCTGCTCATGGGAACTGAGGTGAATAAATTACCCTGGTCTTCACCCGAATATCTGTGGTGAGAACATCAGCCTTGCTATAGTCGCTTGCCGCAAGGGTTTAAATGTGCTGTCTCAAAAAGCCTCAGATATATTTGTGGGGGATTTCCCTGCAGTACGTGCTGTGAGGGTACCAGTGAGAGCTTCTAATGGGGACAGGGAAGGTTGCCTGGGGTCAGGCTGTGAGGGTGGCTGGTCTGTCTTGGGGCATGGCCATGGCTGATGTCTGCTGCAGTGCCAAATGACCGAAGTAGTTTAGACACGCCTCCAGGGCTAAGCTGTAATGGGGCACTTGAGCAGCGCAAGTCCGGCAGGATCTAATGATAGTTGAAATCCACTATTCATTCACCCTTCTGTCTATTGGATTGCAAATTCAGTGTTATTTTCTAAGAATACAGTCATGGGGCTTTGCAGAGAAGAAAAGACTTCTCATACATAGGGGGGATGAGGTTCTTAGAGAACCACTATTCAGCATAGTCCAGTCAAGCTTACTAGCCTGATCTCCATGTATTAACCCCCTGATTCAATCTCTCCCCCCCGGGAACCACTGGTCTGTTCCAGTCCCATGTTCTAGTGCAGAAGCAGCTGCACTGTGCCATTCCTGGGAAGTTTCAAGCTTCTGGAAAGTTTTTCCATAATGTTTTACCTATGTCTCATTTACTTCAACATTACTTTTGTTCAAAGGGGAGGTAGTCCAGTAGGGCGGTCTTTAGGGTGAATTCAATAACATTAGCAGCATAAGTTTTCACAATGAGAAGTCCAATTTCTCATTCCGGATCATCACTCAAGACATAACATAAATACTCACCAAGCAGCCGCTATAGCTGACTCACAATTCCAAGTTGTTGTACAATTTTATTAAACATGATTGATGCGGATACTTTTGCAGGGGAGCCAGGTCCTGCCTGGGATTTCTGGGCAAGGAGAGAGGAGTGATCTGGAGCTGCAAGATGATTACTTTTGGGAATGGTATTGCATTTTCTCATAACATTGACAGGACTGAAAGGGAGAGCAAGGAAACACATTCTCTGAAGTTTACTTGCAGGGGAGATGTGCCTTTACATCTTGCCAAACTTCTTGGATGACCTCTTACTCAAGTGAGCTCCTTTGGCAGTATCAGGTACTTGCTTGTCTATCTCTGCCTGTGCTGCCCACAACAGCAGGTTGGTGACATGTTTGCATCTTCTGAATCAACTTCCATATTTTGCATTGTAAAACCAGAGAAATATTGAAACTCGGCAACCGATTAGAGTGAAACCCGTGTTTTAAAGAAGACATGGGATGCTGTAGCTCTGTGTCGTTCTAGGATGCCTGGCCTGTTTTTCAGCGGCTGTTCCCTCTTGCAAGTACAAAGCCATTTAGCCATGAACTTCTCAACTCCTGGGTCTCTTTCCCCCCGTAAAGCCACCTCAGGCATCAAGAGCTGGCAGCGTGTGTAATGTGAGGCTATGTGGATTGCGGGAGCATCCGCCTCATTAAATTATCCGGCTCAAACTCTCTAGTTTAGAAGAAATAACACATAACAATGACAGTGATAAAATAAACACACAGATACACAAACCTAACAGCAGGCGGTAAGGGAGACAGTAAGAAAGACCAGAGCTCTTCCGTCACTGATTGATGGGCCATTAGCGATGGCCCTTGGGCACCGCGGTGGAGGGCACAGCCTCAGCTCTCTAACCGGGAGGAAGGCGGGGCAAGGATGCCCTCGGTGCGGTGGGATGTCCGAGGGAGGCACGGGTGGCTGTGCAATATTTATTATGGCATGTTTAGAGGAAGGGCCAAAGGTGGAGAAAGGTGGTGGTGGGGATCAGGGTGGACTGGGGAGGAGCAAGCTTAGTCTCACGTTCTATCCTGTGTGTGAGTGCTGCAGGCCCTAAGTGGTAGCAGCTGGAGAAGGGACCCGTAGGTCTTGGTGCCAGCAAGGAGAGAGACCAATATGCAAGAGAGATGTGGGTGGTCCCAACTGGAAGGACCGTGGGCCATAAGGCTTGTAGGTCTAGGTGTCAGCAACCGGAGGAACCAGGGTGTATGTTTATGCGGGAGAGGTCTAAATAGCAGCACCTGTAAATACCGAAGTGTGTTTACTCCCCCCCCCCAAGTTAATGTAATCCTGTGTGCACATGTACATATAATTGTACAGAAAATTTTAAGTGGGACTAGTTGGCAAGCAGGAGGAAGCCTGCATCTGGAAGGACTTGAGGGCCGAGTCCGTGCTGGGTAAGGGGACCCAGGGTCTGGGCATGGGTGAACTGAGAAGCTGTGCTAATGCTCAAGGAATCCATGGTTGTGGGAACACTTGTGAGATGAGAGTGTAGCACACGCATCTGCTTGCTAGCAAACTTCAGGTTGGATTGGCTGGAGAGTAGGAGACCTGCTTACCCAGTGAGGGACCTCAGGCATGAATATTAGAGGGATTTACAGGCTGGGCTGATATTTGAGGGTCTGTGAATGCGAGTGTGCCTGTGAATCTGGGAAGTGAGAGCACGTGTGTTTTCATAGAGGGCTTTAATCCTGATCAGCCAGAAAGGAGGAACAGGACTGGCCTTACTAACATTTGAGTCAGGGTTGTTGGTTTTTATGCGAGTGCAGCTAAAGGCAGTGGTCTGTCGGGTAGTCTGTGTGTCCAGCTGCCTTGGTGCCCTCTGTGTGTAAGTATGTGTGTGTACCTGTCTGGGACACATGCTCAGCTTCACTGCTGGCCAAACCTGAACAGAGGGACAGGAGCTGGGTCCATCACACTGGGATGAGGAGACCTCCTGAGTTCCTGCGTGCCCCTGGCTGGGCTGCAGCAGTCAGCAAGGAGGGATCCCTGGGTCCTGGAGTCCATGGGATTCAGCAGCCACCATTTACATCCTTAACATATATTATCCAAATAATACATTTTTTTGACACTGTAGCTATTAGAATCAGGTCAGACTTTAATTGTTTATGTTTGAATGTGAGTGTAAAAACCAAGGTCATAGTCAGAGGAGTGGTGGTGGTAGGTCAGGGCTAGGAAAAACAATGCTACATGTTAGGAAGCTAATACAGTTGACCATAATAGAGAATAAATGGGATATGAATGGGAATATATGCTGCAAGACAATCCAGATTTGTATCTTTAGGGATTAAATACCAGATTTCCAGCAGGAATGAAAAACAACAAAAAAATGTACAATATATTTTTCTTACATTAGAAATTGGCTGAGATAGAGGCTAGATCAGTAATATATATTTGAGAGGAAATGGAGAGAAAATGTTACAAAATCAGAAGAGAGACTAATCTCTTGTTTACAGAGATAGCCAACATGCATCTTCTATATTTTAGGAACAGGGTATTTGTGCACAGAGATAAAATGAAGTCCTTGTCAGTGTGGTTTATAAGTAGTAATAAATCAGTCAGGCTGATACTGCAGATTAAAAATGCTGAAGATCAAGCAGGCTGAAGATAAAAATGATATGTTTTTTACTGTCACAGTGACCTATATAAACCTACATTACCATAGTCCTAATAACAAATTCATTCTGTGAGCAGAGGGACTAGTGAAACTTGATTTCCTGACGATCTGTGCCCAGCCTCACTGAAGATCCGTTTTGCCATGTCCTCAGCAAACCCCTCTCCCTCCTCCCAGGGCAGCCCCATCGGGTGCCCCCCCGAGCTTCTGCAGAGCTGTCAGCCAGTGCCAGGGCCACACCGCTGTTTGTCCATCCGGCGTGTTTTCTTAGGGCTGCTACTGACTTCTCTTCAATCAGACCCCAATTTTTATATTTTGCCATTAGCAGGTATTGATTTTCGCAAAACTGGTAAGACCTTTCAAGGGCTGAGGTCATCACCCATCACCCAAAAATGAGCAAAACCAACCAAAGGGTTAAATGGTTGCTGAGGAGCGGCTGTCAGACAGCTGTGTGGACAGACAGACAGCATAAGTGCCTCACTGCTGCAAGATGCCAGGCTAAAAATCCTTCCGATGATTCAGAGGTATTGTGATTTCCAGTCCACAGCTGGTGAGTGCAGGACAGGTGTCTTCTCAGCAGAAAGATAAAGCTCTTGAGCTGTAGGGATTTTAATGGACTGAAATTTCAGACCAGACTTCTTCCTCTTAGCAAGCCTGAGAAGCTGCAAGTGAGCAGTAGCCTTTCTTTTCTCTCTCTGTCACCCTCTCTAAACAATGACTTTAAATAGTGGTGATGGAGAAAAAGAAGGTTATCCCAGGGTTTGTGCTGGATAAGTACAGGCTATATGTCTCCCCTTTACAGTTGGGTGAAAGATCCTTACTAACTTGGAAGACACCTAAGTACAGTCATA